AAAAAAAAAAAAAAAACTTTGGGAGAGGTTGTAAAGAGGAATGCACACACTCCAGAGACTGCCGTGTCAGAGAGCAGAGGAAGAAACACAAAGCAGCCGCTGTGATTTGACAGACCATACATGTTAACGTTAGGGCGACCTAAATCCTGTTGTGGGTCGCATGAAGCCCCCCCACCCCACCACCTCCACCTCCACGCTCCTCCAACCCACCCACCCAGCTCCCCACCCTCTCTGAACGTGTAATAACAAAGCGTTGATCAATAAAGTGTACTTTCGAGTGAGGCAGGACAGACCTGGACCCCCCCCCCTCTTTGTTTCACTGCCAGCGCAACAGCATCCGTGTTGGCACAACAAACCGCGCTACAACCCCTGACTTCTAAAATGTTGTCGCACTCATCTTCAAGCCCCCTTTTCTCGAGAGCCCCCTTCGCCCAAAAAAAAATTCCCTCCCTGCCTCCGAGCTACTTCTGAAATGTTGAAGCGTCTACAAAGAGGTCTACAACTATTACAACACAACCATACTCCTTTCTAAGCCCGGGGCTAACTCCGCTGCGGTACAGGTATCATGTAATGTGGCCCCGTGAGGCTGAATGTGGGGGGACAAAGTGCTTGTTTGTGGGTGACACAATGTTACAGCGAGAGGAAACATGCTGGTACAGCGACATTGTAACAAGTGCGATTCGGGCTTTGCGCAACAAAAACCAGAAAACTCACCACAACTCCTGTAGAGCCCAGAGGAAACCCGAGGAGGGGAGGGGGGGAGCCAAGAAGGAATTTATCCTCTCTTTCTCTTCCACGTTTTTCTGCCCCGGCCCCTGTCTCCACACCCCAAGAACCGAGAGTGTGAGCGGGGTGGGGGGACCTGGGTGATAGCAGAGGAGGGAAGCACGATCTGGGACACACAGCCAACACTTCGCGGTCAGTTTATCTGCTAAATCTAGGCAAGGACGGAACTCCCCCCCAAAAATCCTTTCTTCGCCCAAACGTATCGTCCTTTCAGAGTGTACTTTCTTGGCCTTCCTGGGTGTTAAATCCCACGGTTTATCCGCTGTATCCGGGCGCGTCGGCCGACTATTCTAGTCCGCCATGTTGTGTGTCTGTCTGCATAGGAAGAATGGGAAGCGAACAGCAAATTCCCAAGCCAGGCCCCGTCTCTTCTCTGCTCGGTTTCTCCACAGCCCGCAGCGACACCTGCCGGCCGAGCTGGAGCTTACACCGTCCACACCGAGCCGCTGGAGCAGGGCTTCCCACACTGAGGAGCCGGGGACCTCCAAGGGTCCATGAGGGGCTTCTGACTCCGTTTCAGTGTCCCTTTCTGCTCATCAACCCAACACCTGATGAAGAGGAATGTGACACACTTACATAGGCTATTGCTATTGTTACTTAATGTGTGTATGGATCAATAATCTAATAAAGTATGTGACGTTACACAAGGTGGTTTGTGTTTCATGGGGACACATAAATTGTTCCATTCATAAATAAAGTGACTGAGATTTTATTGTGAACAGAACATATTATTGTCAACGTGAACTTGATGAAAAAGCTGAATCATAGGAAAAATAAAATTTGCTAATTAAGAATAACAACTGAGAAAAGAAAAGTACAATAACTGAATACTTATACGCATACAAAGAATTACTAATTAATCACCTTTATACCTTTTAAAACTAAATGGTTGGAGGTTAAAGGAAAAGTACAACATTTTATAGTTATTTTTATACATTCTAATTATGTAACTAAATAAATAAAATATTATTATGGGCAAATCAAGCTATATTTGTGACTTTTTACACATTTAGCTACATTTTTGTCAGTTTCTGGGCTCTTTACCATACAGGACAGGTCTAGGTTGTTCAATGTGTTAAGTAAGATAATGGTTTTAAAGGTAAAAGCTTACTACCATGTCAGAAATTATCAATATTATATTAGTGGTAAATGTTAATATTGCCGTAAAAGTAATCAAATATTAAATATTGCCTCATAAGTGGAGAGGGATATTTTACAGCTCCAACTGTGGATCATTAATAAATTAACAAGAAATTGCCAACAATGTTGATAATGGTTAAGCTTTTAAGTCATTTTCGAGCAAACATGCCAAAAAATCCCTGATAACAGCTTCTCAAATATTTCCTAGTTTTCTTTTCTGACTGTTCATCAGACAACACAATTTGAATTGGGTTGAGGAAAACTGTGGCATTTTTAAAAATGTTCTGGGCTTGTATAAACCAAATAAATAACAAAATATAATAATAATAAATAAATTGCAGGCCTACATACTATGCACACTGTGCACTAGAGTAAAAGACCAGTAGAAACATTATAGACGTATGCAGTTTTTTCTCTTCCACTATTGTTCTGCACAAAGCAACAGTCCACCATATGTCTGTCACACTCTCTCATTTAAATTTCTTATATTCTCCAGTCAACCTGAGTTGCAAATGTTTGGACACAGAGGCCTTGGCTTGGATTCGAGTTCCTCGTGCTGTGAGGTGATGCGTGCTGACTGAGCCATCAGCAGTCGTGATGAACATTTCATGACACTAAATACTACATCAGTCTTCTATTAACAGTCAGGCAAGGATTTTGCACACAGGATGTCATATCTCATTTATTATTCATGCCTCATCATAAATGAAGCAATAAAGCTAAAACTTGAGGTTAATAAATAAAATGATACACATACATCATGTTTTGACCGCTGGTTAATGTCCAGACATACAACCATTGAGTAGAAATGACAGGATCTTGCCAGAGATCAGAATGTGAATGGCTGATTTATAAGACAACATGTTCAACACATCTTTTCCCCTTAGATGTCACAGTTAATGTATTCTGCTCAACTGCAAACCAGAGTTTGTGGATATCATAGCTGTGCATTACATCCGCATTTAACTGTGTTTAAGTTGGAAAAATGTGTGTGAGCTGTTGCTGGAATATACTGTGTGCGTACAATCAGTCTGTTTAACAGGAAGTAAATAAAAAAGCCTGTGTGCGTCTCGGCAGCTGAGAGATTTGCAAATACAATGCTTAGACCGCCAGGTTAGCAATGACAGCTTGGGTGAACTCGTCGCTTGTTGCGTAGCCTCCCAGGTCTCCAGTGCGCACCTGTTGCAAACATAAGGACAGTTTGTTACTATATGCACAGCTGCAGCAACACATGTCCACATATTAGAGCCTGCATGTTAGAGAGCCTTTAAAAATGCACTCACAGAATGCAGAAATAGTGTGGTCAGTGAGTCGTACTTTTAGAAAGCAGCAGTTTCCTTCCTAAGCTATGTTCTCTTCTTTATTTTCTCACATTTTTTCAACATTTATAGAGGCTGAGAATTAAAATATACCAGTCAAATAAAATTCAACTAGAGTAAATTCATTCAAAGTCCATCAGTGACTACTAAGAGAAGACATGTTATTTATTCAATATTACATAACTCTTCTGACAACCTTTTGTAGGCAAGTAAATCTCCATGAAAGATTTGTGAACAAAAAGGAAACTAAATTGGACAAAAAACAAACAAAGAAAGCAAAAACAAGGACATGACACTGTTTTCACTGGTGGGTGGTATACATTCTCCAGAAAGGTTCAAAATATAAACATGAATACAGTTGCTAATATATTTTTTATAGTTATCTTTTATTTGTAGTTAACAGACTACTTGTGAAGTCTCTTAAACTGCGTACACAGTGATACAAAAGCCTGACAGATGAAGTGGTGACATAGAGGAGCACTGTTTTAAATGTTTACAGCACCATCTTGAACAAAGCTTGTTTACATATCCTCCATAGTCCTTGGAAATGATTTTTAAATATAAAAATACTGACTTTACCCACTTCATTTGCTGACACGAGACCAAAAACGGAACAGATAATCTATAACACATTCATATTCATAATTCAACCTAGTGTATATGCTGCAATGATGGAGGACTAGCTCATATTTTGCTGTAACACTTTTTTTTTGGTATACTTGATTTTCTTTTTTGGTAGAAATGTCATAATATTACCGTCGTTATTAATACCTAATAAGCAACATGAATGTTGCATTATGAGGGGGTTTGCCTTTGCCATACAGTAACTCACAGGAACAATTTCAGGTTTTAATTGAGTTTACAGCACTGCAATAGCAGAATAGATGTTTATTAAAAACATCCAAAGATGTGTAGGTCAGAAATGTTGTGGTGGGTCATGATGTAGCAACGTCATACTGTATATTAAGTTACAGGTACAGCCATTAGATGATTCAGTTATGAGGTTATGATTCAGAAAATGAGAAGAAAGTGAAGCAATGTGGTGGTGAAGTGTGAGGCCAAAGCAGAGTAGCTGATAAACTGTTGATAAGGGCAGTCTGGTTGCTAACAATGTGTGATAGCAGAGAGGTAGCCTGTGTGGCCAACATGGCTGAAACACTGGGACAATTAAGCAACAAGCACAATGTAATACAATACAAAGAGATACTCTGATGGACAGTCACTATGGGGAAAGATGTAAAAATGTGTAATATAAATCCTTGAGAACAATCCTTACAGGCTGCACATTTTTAGAAATATATAAAAGCCCCATTGGTATAAATCATCATCATGATGCAACGGATGGTGCAGTGAGAGGGGGGGTGAGTCTTAACATGCGTCCAGTTCATGTTAAGAACAACATCCTTTTTTAAAGAAATGTCAGTGAGGAGTGCGATGAAACATCTTAGTAAACAGGTCGGTGACGCAGGTTTTCCACAACAGCATGCACAAAGTCGCCAGTGGTAGAGTACCCGCCAAGGTCTCGTGTCCGTACCTGCGACATCACACAGATACACACAAACACACAGAC